TCAATTTTTATAAACTTTCATTTAAATTTAATAAAACAAATTTCAAAACAATACGGCCAAAATAAAAGATTTTGCGGCCCTGGTAGAGTATCTATCATCTGCCGCAGCGAAAGGGTTAATCTTACGAATTTCTACTTCCCAGGTATACTCAGATTGCACATGCATACGCGCACCGCCGATGAATCTAACCACGGAGAATGGCGTGGTCAGTTACGAGGCAATAAACACGACCTGCAACACATCGTGCTCGTATCTGTGGCCCTTCATCGCCCTAGCGTTTTGCAACATGTTCATAACGTTTCTTTGCACGATGCCCGCACTTTCCGCGACACTACGCGTCGTCCGAGACGATCAAAGATCGTTTGCCTTGGGTATACAGTGGATTAAAGTTAGGATTCTGGGCACGATACCAGCGCCCATGGTGTTCGGTGCCCTAATAGACGATACTTGCATTTTATGGAATGAAACGTGCGATGGTGGAGGGTCCTGCTTGGTTTATGACAACTTGTACATGAGCAGGTACGTGTAATTCGATTTGAAACAATACTTAGGTACAGGTATATGGAGATACATAAACTCTAAAGGGAATAGAATCAATTGATACTTCAAAGAGTATTTTAAAGATAATCGACGATATTCTTCGTATTTAAGATAATTGAAAATTAGTTTATAAATTAGGATGAACTTTACCGAGTTCGATTTTTGGCGTCCTCTAAAATATTTCTGAATTGTATGTACGATTTGTGTTAGAATGATTTTTAATATCTAATTTTTAACAGTGACTATTATAAAAGAAAATTCTTTTATACAGGAATCAGGAAAATCAGGAATAAAAAAATTGCATTTGAGACTTAGTTTTTTGGTTACTAATAATTAAAGTAACAAATACTGTTGCTGAAATTCAAATATTGTATACGTTCTCGAACGGTGCACGTTGAGGTTATAAAAGAAATTTATTTTTATTACAGAATTGCTTACATTTTTTCAGGTACATGCTGGCGTTAGCTTTTATTGGTAAAGCAGCGTCCCTTCTCTTCTTTTTCCTAGCCTGGTGGACATACATTCCTCCGGGAAGCAGAAGAGTTACACAAAATTCGCGGGAAGAGCCCACAACAACGTTAATGTTAAACGACGCACCACACGACGCGCCAACCACGCCAGCAATAATAAATCCTATCATTGAACCATAAACAGTAAGCTTGCATTCCATTTAGATCAACGTACGAATTTCGTGGATAATTTAGATTTATTAACAAATTTCTAATATCCACCAAACATTACCAACACGAACGATCAAAGGAATGTGCTTAAAAAACGAGGTACAGAATTATTGTAACCTGTCTGTCGTCTTAATCCACTGAAAGTAGATAGACCTGTCTGCTAGTCAGTTAAGAAATTGCGTGTATATGAGCGACATCTGTTACTTTCAAATATAAAAGAAATGAAGTTAGAAACGCGAATGAACTCGGTCGAAACATTTTTTACCGAATGGGTATTTAAGATAATTTAATGGATAGATGGATTCTTT